CGCCGCTGGCCCTGAGCTGCCCGACTGGACAGGACAGCGCAGAGCGCGCGTCTGCCGGAGCCGATATAAAGTGACACTGTTCACCGCAGGGGCTGTTCTTAGCAACCGGGGCTGTGGCCAGTGCTGCCACGGGGCTGTCCGAGGCCACACCTTTCCTCGTGGGTGTGGACACGGCCGTGAGCACGGGGACCCCGGACTGGGCACGCGCTCAATTCCTGACTGTCCCCCGCGGCGACCCGCAGGCCGGGGGCAGACTTCCTGCTGGGACGGCAGCCAGCGCTGGCCGTATCCCGGGTTCCCGGAGTCCCCCTCCCGTGATGGTGCTCGTCCCTGTTCAGCGTGTCATCGCTCACAGTTTATAGACTGTCACGGACGTTGCCTGGTTTGAGGGTCCCTCCCCGAGTCAGGCCAGGGCGGCTCCATGGATCCTGCTCCCGCTGAGGAGCGGGGTCCAGTCGCCCGGAGCCCAACAGACCCGCTGTCATTCTCAGTCCCGGGCTGGGAAGCTTGCATTCTACTGCGTGCGCGTTAGAGTGCATCCCGTTAGAGTGCATCCGACAGCCAACAGCTTTCCCACCCCCCACCCCCGGGAGGCTGGCCCCGGTTCACTCCCTGGATTTTGAGAGGTCCTGTGGGTATTCCTTTCCGCAGCCCCACTTTAATTTTCTGTTTCTTTCTGGTCTCAGTGAAATTGTTGCCAGTGGACTGCGAGAGGAAAAACGATGAGGTGAGTGTTCTCTGTCGTTCCTCCCCAGCACGTCTGCTGTCCTTCCAGGAGCCCTGGCGTGATGTCGACACCTGTCTTGGTGCGGCCCCGCTCTGTTCATAGCACCTGGGACATGGGTCCCCTGTGCGGTCCATCCAGGGGGACACAGCAGCGGTGAAGGGCCTGTGCTCCCTGCCTCGGGGGAAGGGCCGGAGGTTCCTAACCGACAGGAGGCCGTGTTGTCATTTCCCCTTCCCTCCAGGAGTGCTTTTGTGGCTCTGAAAATGCCCTTCTGATTTGAGACATTGTGGGGAGGGGGTGTTTGGAACACATTTGAAGTGGAATTGGCCCTCTTAGTCTATAGATTCGTTTTATGAAGCCTTAATGTTCCCTACAAATAGTATTGGGGGACGGTGAGCAGCCGTCCACTGTGAAAGGAGCCCGCGAGAGGAGTGGGTGCTGAGAGGTGGCCGTCTGGGGAAAGCCCTAAGTCCCAGCCGGAGGAGCAGTCTCCTAACTAAACCTGCAGCAGGGCTCCCACTCCGCTCACATCTGCCCCCCACCCCACACCCCTGCGCTGACGCTTACCCACGTTCTGAAGGGCATCCTGGTTTCTCTTGGCTTCTGCTGTGTCCTATTTGAAGTTTTGGGGGTTTTTTTACATTCATTTATTGCATTCATCCACCAAATATCTTTGCTTCCCAGTTGTTTTGTAGAAACATATTCATAATAAGTTTGATCTTCCATCATAAAAACCACGACTGATGACTAGAGGAAGGAGCCCAGAAACGTAGGCGGCAGCTAGAGGAGGGACTAGAATTTTGAAGACTGAAATAGGAAAACAGGAGCTTTCTGTGAGACTTCTCTGGTGATGCTCATTCGTTGTCTTTTAATTGGAAACATCTCCCTGGCTTCTGTTTCTTGACCCTTAACGTCTCTAAATGGGTCAGGCCTACGGCTGAGGGACAGATTCGTTCCCTTCGTTCCCTAACCCTCCTCTGAGCAGACAAGTGCAACCCAGGGCCTTGCTAAAGGTGTGCCCAGCCAGCCAACTGTACCGGGAACATTGGCGCCTGGAAGGCCAGCGTCTGGGCCCCCAGCCTGGGCTCCGTGGAGCTGAGAGTTCATGGGATGCCCTTGGCCTCCGGGCGGGGGGCAGGGGGAGCCTGGGAACAGGCAGGTTGGGAGGCACGTCGGCTTTGCTGCGGCTCTTGCTGAAAGTCTCATTCTGTGTGTGGCTCCGGCTCACCCAGGACCCGGCAGGACATTTGTGTTCCTTTCCCTTTTCAGCGGACTTGACACTATTTTCTTTCTGCCTTTTTGCTACTGAAAACATGGGCACAGGCTGAGAGCTGTCGTATCAGCTGTCCTGCTGGCTGGGACCTTGTGTCCTGTTTCCTTTCGGTGGCATCAGCCTGCTCGCCTGGATGTTGGCAATGTGCAGCAGTGGTCTTTGTTACTGCCGGTTTCCTGGTGTGACAGTAAAAGATGTTAGTGTAGAACGTTTGAAAGGGAAAGCCACCATGACTCTGCCACCTAGAGATAATTACTGTTAACGTTTGGGGATCTTTCCTTCCCATCTTATCTCCCTATGTGCGTCTATAGACTTGGATTCTTGGCGTATATTTAGTTAGCTTTAACCCTTATCTCACCATTTCCCACACCTAAAACACTCTTTAAAGTAGTTTGGGTACCTAACTCCACTAGAAGCCACATGAGTTGTTTCCGACCATTGCGGTCATGTGTACTGCAAAGGCTCTTGGGTCTTTAGGCAGCGTGAGGGGACACATCTTGCCTCTGAGAGTGTTGGACACCAGGTCCCTCCCATTCGGGTGAGGCAGCGGATGAGCCTGGGAGGAAGGCCACGTCAGTTCCTTCTGTAGTTGCGGGGCCAGGCCCCAGGCTCTCGACTCAAAGTCCAGGGCTCTGCCCTACGGACACCAGAGGCGGCCTGAAGTGTGGGGTGTGGTGTCGGCTGGCCTGACCCCACTTCTCATGAGCTGTGGGACCTTGGTGGCTTACCTAAGGTCTCTGAGCCTCAGGCTCCCCATCTGAGAAATTGGGGTACAGTAAGGAGTGTGGTGACAATTCAATGCACACTCACATATAGCCACTCCGCACAGCACCTGGCTCTGGGTCCACTGAGGAGAGCAACCATGAGTCTAGCTAGATGGCCTCAATGTTACAGGGGCTGGAGGGCTAGGTCTGCATGTGTTCCTGCTCCCATTTTCTCATGCAGATGGCTTTTCTCCCCTATGATTTCAAAGGTTTCTAGGAATTTTACTTTTGCAGCAGATACTCCACAAGACAGACAATCGATGGGCAGATTGTAGACACTTTAGTCTCCACCACGGGTGGGAGTGGCCCCAGGGGGAGAGGACGCAGCGTGGGTAGCTTCCCAGGACTACAGCGCTCATTTCCCACGGCAGCCTTGCCTCTGCTCCTCGGCCCCACTAGTGGCTGTTACTCCGTCGGCACCGGGGAAGGGCGGGGACCTCCAGGATGGCAGCCCTTAGTGACTGTGCCTTCGCTCTGCCCTGCACTCACTCAGCCCCACATGTACCGGCCCTGTCCCTGGGCCCACCATTTCGCAGAATTGGTTTTTAGGTTTTAAAAGTATGAGGTGTTGCTTACTGCTCAGTACTTGACAGTGCGACTGACGAGGTAGAGCCACACTGCCTCCTTGCCCACCGCCCTGCTGACCGCGTGTCCTGTCCTCTCAGTTCTGTCAGGCCAAGCAGAAGGCGGCCTTGCTGGAGCTGCTGCACGAACTCTACAACTTCCTGGCCATCCAAGCCGGTGAGTAGGTCTCCAGGCCCCAGATCCTCACGAGCCGCTCGTGGGCCGATGGCTGAGGCGTGCTGTGGTCTCCCCCAGAAGACACTCAGAAACCAGTTCCTGCTTCCCCTCTATTTGTTTAAGCCTTGCATTTGGGCAAAACCATTTGGTTCTCACCTCCTTTCGAGGGTCTCAGGGCTCCTGGAACATGCACAGGCCTTTCTCTGGATAAGCGCCCCCCTCAGGCTTCAGGACTCCCTGTTTCACTGGCGGGGTGAGGGAACAGACCCTGGGTCTCAGAGTCTGGGTGCTTGCACCTGGAGGCCTGCCTGCACCAGGTGGTTGGCCGGGGTAGGCAGAGAGGCCCGTGCAGGTGACGGGTCTGTGGTGGGCTAAGCACACTCAGGCCCATCCAGCTGCCAAGGCCCTGGTGTCACATCTGGTCCTGGTTGCCCTAGCTGGCTCAGGACCTTGGACAAGTCCCTTTTAGTCTCAGGTAGTCTTGGGGCCTCCATCTCCCTGTTACTGAGTGACCTTGGGTCTCTCTTTTCTGTTTTTAAATGTGGTGGGGCGAGGGTAATTGATTTTAGAGAGAAAGGAAGGGAGAGGGAGAGAGATAGAAATAGTGATGAGAGAGAAACATGGATCAGCTGCTGCCTGCATGCCCCCTGCTAGGGATCGAACCCACAACCCAGGCATGTGCCCTGACTGGAACTCGAACTGGCAACCTCTCAGTGCATGGGACAGCGCTCAGCCAGCTCAGCCGCATCGGACAAGGTTCTCTTCTCTTTATAACATGAAAGCCAAGTGCTGTCCTCCAGAGGAGCACTCTCCGCACCCCGGGAAAGACCCTGAACACTCATCCATCCAGGCTCCCCTGCTGTTTTATTTGGTAAACAGCCCTCAAGGCTAGAGATGTCGCCTGCATTGTGTCCTTCCCACACCTGGCGTCTAGGGAGGCTCAGAATCACTTGCTGATGGCATAGGCCAGTGGTCGGCAAACTGCAGCTTGCGAGTCACATGCGGCTCTTTGGCCCCTTGAGAGTAGTTCTTCCACAAAATACCACGTGCGGGCATGCATGTACAGTGCGATTGAAACTTCGTGGCCCATGCACAGAAGTTGGTACTTTGTGGAAGAGCCACACTCAAGGGGCCAAAGAGCTGCATGTGGCTCGCGAGCCGCAGTTTGCCGACCACTGGCATAGGCGAATGGGCTGGTGCCGAGTTAAATATACTTGGCACGAGAGCCAGATGGAGCTGGTCAGTCTTATGGGATGTTCAAGAGGCACCTCTTACCTACAGGACAACCTTTGGCCATTGCTGGGGAGACAGGTTTGGGTGGACTGGCCCTCAGTCCTCAGGGCCAAGCTTGTGGGCCTCAGCTCTGCCACCTCCTCCCTCCTACTGGTGGGAGACGGGGTGGTCGGGGAGCGTCTGCGCTCCTGGGAGGAGCGGTCCTATGGGCATTTCCCCGTGGCCCAGATGCTTGGGATATACATTCTGGCCCACGAGGGAGTTCTAAACGTTTGTGACTCGATTGTGGTCCAAGCAGCAGCAGCTGGGAGCTCATTGAAAATGCAGAATCTCAGGTCCCATCCCCAACCTACTGAATCAAAGCCTGCGTTTTAATAAGACCCCAGGGGATAAAGTTGAGATGCTCCGCTCTTAAACGGTGAATCCTAGTAGCCATTTCTCCCCCTCCACCTCCACATGTGGTCCTCATTACGCCATCAAGGGACCTGGCTCCCGCTGTCCTCTGACAAGCTTGCAGGGGCAGCCCTGTGGGCATGCATCTCACGGAGGCAGCTGCTGGGGGGTGCGTGGTCTCTGCTGGGCCACCCTCCCTTCCCCCCTGTTGGAGTCCTCCCTGGCCAGGGCACTGTAGGATGCAAGATGGGTTCAGGGTCCTGCCGCAGGCCACCTACCTCCCTGACCACTGGGTGATACAGGATGCCATTGGAGGAGAGCCGAGGGCCAGCGGTCCCGAGAGGCACGATGCCTTTTAGCCAGAACAGTCAGGAAAGGGTCATGGGAGGCCCTGGAGTCCAGTAGGATGGGTTCTGTATGTGCGGGGAGGTGGGGCCAACAGGGCAGGAGATTACAGAGTCAGAATGAAAACGGCTTCCTGAGGGAAGGTGGAACAGGGAATGGAGTTTGGAAAGGTCAGTTGGGTCCCACAGATGCCAGGCCACCGGGGCTTAATATTGTGGGCAGTGAAGCCCAGTAGGCTTTTGCATAGGGAAGTGACATGCCGAGAGCAGGTGCCAAGAAGGCAAAAGTGGCGGCAGCTTAAGTGGAGTCATCTTATTTTAAAGCTTTAAAACATGTGAACGAGAAGGGAGGCGGAGGAAACCAGTCGGGGCCTGGCGATGGTCCAGGCAGGCCTTGGCAGGGAGCGTGGCCTGAGTGGAGGCAGGAGAAGCCAGCCTGGTGCCAGACGGCCCAGAGGGTCAAGACCAACTTTGAAGTAGGAAGGATGGGCTTCAGTTCATCCTCAAGATTTTTAATATTACCTTCAGCCACTCCTTCCACAGTGCGTGCGCGCACACACACACACACACACTGGCCATTTGAAGCCCAGCTGTGCCAGGTGAAGGACAGTTGCACTATGTGGAGAGTGAAGGATCTTTACGTGCCCTGCCCTGCATTGTCCCTGCTCGAGGGCTCGGGGGGTGAAGCGGCTCGCAGCGGGCATTGAAAGCCAAGAGGTGTGGCAGGCCCCCGAGTTCAGAGCAATCTGGCCGAACAAGAGGCCCCCACAGGCTGGGGGCTTTTCAGAGGAGGTGGCCTTTGGGCGGGACCCGAAAGGCTGGCAGGACTCGGGAGGCTACCAGCTCCGTCCTAGGCGGGAGCTGGCCACCCCGGCTACTTAGAAGGGAGCTTTGGAGCCCTGCTGAGGCCCCGCTGTCCAGCCACAGACGCCCCCTTCCTCCACGGGGCATGCTGGGCATCGTCCCACGACCCCTCACACAGTGGGCCTGGCATTCCAGGTCACCGGCCTGTATCTGTCAGAATCCCTGCCTTTCTTCCTCCCAGGCTGTGTGTGTTCATAGCGCCACCCGGTACCTTCCAAAGCTATCTGTCTGATCCTGTTAGGGATCAATTGCAAACAGACCTGGTATTGGGCAGTTTTTTAGTCATTTAATGCAAATCACCGCACTGCTTTGCAGGTCAGGTTTTAATGATCTGGAATCGATCCAAGCTAAGTGGCTTTTGATCTTGCTGCAGAGTGAGGATGCCCCAGAAGCCGGAGCGCCAGGTCGCATGCTCCCTCTCAGAGCGGAGGGCTTGGTTCTTGCTGCATTTTGTCGTCTGTTTCAGAGTCATCTTTTCATCTTCCTTGTGTTTGAATGTTTTTCCTCCCAGGGAACTTTGAATGTGGGAATCCAGAGAAGCTAAAAAGCAAGTGCATCCCTGTAGCGGAAGCCCAGGAGTACGTAGCAGTAAGTAGGGTGGCGCCCACCGCCGGGAGGGCCTGGTGCTTTGGGGTTGATTTTCAGACCCTGCGTTTGCTTTTCTTCCCCTTTTTATTTTGTTTGGTGTTTGTTTTGGTTTGGTTTGTGTGTGTGTGTGGTTTTGGTTTTTTTGCTTTCTTGCCCTCCCTCCCCCCCCCTTTTTTTTTTTTGCCTTAGTTGAGTGCTATGCTACCTTATGTTAAGGCAACACTGTGGGGTGACTGGGCCCAAGGTGAGCTGTGAGCCAGAGCAGGCCTGCTGTGTGTGCGTGGCTCCCTGCTGCCCAGCGTGCAGGCCACAGCAGCTGCCGCATCTCCCCTTCTCAGCAGCTTTAAGGATGCATGTGTCGCCTGCTCTTCTCCCCCCTTGTGTGCTGTGTGGATTGTCTGGGGTCCGTTTGACTTTCCACACGGCCTCAGGATGGTAGAATTGGGGATATATGGAGCTGGCAGGGACGTGGTCACCTAGTCCAGTTTTCACTTCACAGGGGAAGACACTGAGGCCCAGGGAGGGGCAGGGGCTTGCCCCAGGCCACGTTGCTGGGCCCCTCACCCCCACACTTTTTCATTTTACCCAAGAGGAGCTGCCACCTGGCTGGATTCAGTCCTTTCGGCTGCCTCAGCCCCGCATTGCTTTCCCGCGTGTGCTTCCTCATCGCCTCCTCCCGTTATAGCCGCTGCCTCGGCTCTCACCAGCCTCAGACTTCCCCCCTGCCAGTTTGCTGCGCGTTGAGCAGAGCAGGGCAGTGAGATGTGCAGAGGTCCCAGGAGAGGACTTCTGTAACCCAGCAGCAGAGTAATGCTGCCTAGCTGCTCTGCCCAGACCAGAGCTAATCTCCCGTCCCTCCCACAGAATGTGACCGGCAGCTCCACCGCCAAGTTTGAAGCCGCACTGACCTGGATACTAAGCAGCAACAAGGACGTGGGCATCTGGTGAGTGTGGTGGGGCGCCCATCAGCCGACTTCCTAGCTTCCTGCGGGTGCCCGTCTGAAGGTGGAGGGCGGGTCTGCCCGTGCTGTGTGGGCTGGGCTGAAAGCTGGTGGAGAAGGATGAGCGGCAGGAATGAGGGCAAGGAACCGTTCCAGGGCAGACACAGAGCAGGTGCCAGGTCTGCGCCTTGCCATCCGGCTCTGCGCGGTTTTCTGGCGAAGGCAGCTTTCTACGCGCCTTTCCTCGGGGCTGGTTTTCATTTGCAGATGAAGTGATTCTGTGTGTTGGTTTCACTCAGTATGGCAGTTGCACAAGGAAATGCTGGATTTTATTCTGACTGGGTAGTTGCGCCTCATTGCTCTCTGGTGAGCACCGTTAGCGGTCAGCGAGCCCTTCCCTTCCTGAAAGGCCCCAGGGGGTGGGTCACCGGCTGACGCTGGACACCTGGAGTCCCCCTGCCAGAGAAGCATTCGCCTCATCACCCCGCTCCCTGCTCCCGTTTCTCAGGGCTCGTCGGGGGCTCTGTTGAGGTTACAGCTCCTGATGCTAAAACACACTCGGGTGTTGTTCTCTTCCTCTCTGATCCACCAAATTACGAATTCCCTCAGCTGTGCACCCAGGGGAGCCGAGCAGCTCACCCTGAGCCTGCAAGCTGGACGCAGGCCCCTCTGAAAGGCACTGGCTTACAAAACAAAGCCTCCCTGAGCAGCTGGCGATCCCTGTTAGAAAAGGCGGGGACTGGAGGCACCGAGCCGTGACACTGGCCTCTTCACAGGGGGGAGGTGGCTGAGCTGGCTCAGACGGCCAGGGTGAAAAGTGGGTCACAAGAAACCGGGGCACTTCAGGTACCAGCCACTCAGGTGTGAGTCCAGCGCATGGCCTCGCCACCTAGAGGTGTGGCTGTCAGTGTCCCGCGGGTCCTGGCACCTTCTTGCAGGAACCAGGGCGGAGGTACTGTGCTGGGGCCTGGCCTCCAGGCACCTCCTGATCTCTTCCTGAAGCAGCTTCTGTGCCTCCTCGACCCCGAGGAAAGGCACACTCTCCCAGACACATGTCCTTCCGTTTCTACCTTGCAGGGCAAGACGGCGACTCAGTAAACATTTGCACTGCTCTCTGCTGGGAAGCGATCCCAACACGCCAAGGGGGTTGTCAAAGGCCCAACAGGGGAGCCACTTTAGTGTCTGGGGTTCGAGCCTGCTGCCTCTTGACAGCTTTATTCCTCCTAAGTAGCCAGCACGGGGATTTCCGGGAAGAGTGCAGCCAGGATATGTCTGTCTCACAGCAAGGGGAGGCCTCGCAGCCCCTCTTCCTCCTCCTCCTGCCTAATGTGGGGCATAGACTGCAGCTCCTCAGAGCTCTTGGATGTGTTTACAACCCGTGTCCTGTTTCAGTTTGAAAGGGGAAGACCCATCTGAATTGGTGACAACCGTGGACAAGGTGGTCTGCTTGGAATCCGCCCGCCCCCGCATGGGTGTGGGCTGCCGCCTGAGTCGGGCCCTGCTCACCGCCGTCACCCACGTGCTCATCTTCTTCTGGTGTAAGTGCTTGCACACGGCGCCGCCCCAGCCCCGCTCCGACAGCCCTGGCAGGGGGTGACGAGTGACAGGAAGCTGCCCTGAGTGTCCGAGTCTCTCGTGCGCCTGAGGTCTATCTAATACGACGACGACGGAGGGCGTAAGCACGTCAGCTTCTGCCCGGTCATCTTCCCCTGGGGATCGGAGCCAGAGCGTGAGGCTAACCAGAAAGTGTCCCTGTTCCTGAGAGGGAGGCTGCCCGGCCGGAGGTGGGCGTTGTCCCTTCCAGGACCCCAGGGTGCAGGCCGCTGCGAGGAGGGCGCAGCAGGAGCTTGGCCTAGTTTTACTCCCTGAGCAATGTAAACCTCTCCTGGGAAGCAGCAAGGCCCCAGCCTGTGAGCCCCAAGCAGAGCTCAGGCCTGTCCCTGACAGAGGGCTGCCTCTGGGCAGAGGCCGAGTCACGGAGCCACTGGCTCTGCCCAGAGAGCCGCGTTACAAATCCCAGGCACCTGGGCGTGCACGCAGCTCCTGCACCCACGCTGTCAGGCAGACATCATTATCCGCGGCAGCATCACGGAACACAAAGGGCGTGTGTGTGTGTGTGTGTGAAAGCCCGGGTTCTGGTTCACCAGGGAGGAGCTAAAAGCCCTGGACTAAGGCTGGGAGGCTGGAGGAGCTGCGTTCTAGACGGTGGAGGGGCCTGAGTGACAGCTGGCAGGGAGGGAGAGG